TAGGCAGCTCGGGTGTATAGGCAGCAGCTGCCTATACACCCCAGCTGCCTATACACCTCAGGTATCTACATAGCTGGGGTGTATAGGCAGCTCGGGTGTATACGCAGGTGGGGTGTATGCGCAGCTGCGGCGTATAGAGAGCTGGGGTGTATAGGCAGCTGAGGTGTATATGCAGCTGAGCTGCCTATACACCCCAGCTGTCTATACACCCTATACACCCCAGCTGCCTGTACACCCCAGCTGCCTATACACCCCAGCTGCCTATACGCTGCAGCTGCCTATACACCCGAGCTGCCTATACACCCCAGCTATCTATACAGCCAGCTGCATATACACCCGAGCTGCCTATACACCCCAAACCGCAGCTGCGCATACACTGCAGCTGTCAGAGGAGACAAACAGGAGGAGACGAACAGAGACAAAAGGAAACAGAAAAGAGAGACAAAAGGAGACAGAAAAAAAAGAGACAAAAGGAGACAGAAAGAGACAAAAGGAGACAGAAAAAAAGAGACAAAAGGAGACAGAGATTGTTTTGTTTTTTTTGTTTTATTTTTGTTTTTTATTGTGTTGCTATTCGAGGAGTATATTAAATACACACCTCAGCTCTGCTGCTTCTTCTGCTGCTGCTGCTTGCTGCTGCTGCTGCTGCTGCTGCTGCTGCTGCTGCTGCGGAGAGCAGCACGCCCCAGCTCGTGCAGCAGCCGGTCGCAGCGGATAGCAGCAGACACAGAGGAGGAGCTCATCGATACACAAAACACCTGCTGCTGCTGCTGCTGCTGCTGCTGCTGCTGGTTGCTGCTGCTGCTGCTGCTGCTGCTGCTGCTGCTGTGTGGGGTATCCTCAGCAGCAACAAAAGGAGACAGCAGAGAAGCATCGATAGAAGGAGAAGCAGAAATAACAAAGACAACAGGAGACACCTTTTGCTGCTTCTTTCCTTTCTTCTCTGCTGCTGCTGCTGCTGCTGCTGCTCCTGCTGCTGCTGCTGCTGCTGTTCCTGCTGCTGCTGCTGCTGTTGTCTGCTGCAGCCCCTCTATAAACGGCCGCAGAGACACTGGCGGTGCATGCGGCGACTCCGATAGAGCTATCCAGCTGTACATACACCCCACACACACACACAC